GTATTTACAAACACATTATCAGCATCCATCCCAATTTTGATTTCCCATTCTCCCATTCCTACATTTTAACAGAAGCCTTTTAACACCCTTTCCCTCAACTCCAAGAAAAAGAACTTCCAAACAGTTTTCCTCTCCTGTTCAATTTAAGGATTGTCAAGTTCTCCTCCCTTCACAATTTCTGTTAGTTTTTCTTATTCTTCTTGGAAAAATATGCTGAGCTTATCTCTCTCACCACCTGCCTTTAATGAACAAGGATGCAGGGACGGCTCTTTCCACAGGATTGTCTCTCTGCAGTAAATTGCTGTGATATTCTCTCATTTACGACCATAGCTCCATGTGTGAAAAATTCTGCAGGATAAGGCCTATCCACAACCAACTGGAGCCTATTCGTTTTCCTCCTCTCTGTTTTTTCTGACTTAATACAGAAATTTTAGGTGCCAGTTTTCACTAGTCCTCATACATCGGACCCATAAAACAGGAAGACACGCCACGTTAAGGAAACCACGTTACATGCCAACACTTCCTAATCTTCTCTCTTTCCTTTTCAATTCTGCTTAACATTGCTGCCTTCCAGCAGAACCAGATGAGATACTTGAAAAACTATCACACTTGTGGCTTGTCTCTTCAGTGTTTAAGTAGGAACTGAACACCTTACTGTCAAGAAGTTCCAATTCAATTATACTAATGGGTTGGTATCAGCTTCATTAAAGAATTTTATGCCACTACTTAGATCTATGGATATAAATTTTTTACCCTGAACTCATTAAGGAATTCACTTACCAGATTCCTATTAATATCAAAGTTGTGCTGACTACTTCTGAGAAAGTAATAAATAAAATAATTATTAAAAATAAAAAGCCCTTACTCTTTTCCAAGCTGTTGTTATTCTACAGCTCACCAGCAATTAAATTTTTAGTTGAGCTTTTAGAATACAATTTGGGGCAGCTAGTCATCACCTAAACCAAACCCATTTCCCATTAAAGAATCTGTGATCATCCTTGTTTTCTGTCTCTAGAGTCAACTGCTGCAAAACATGACCTCTTAGATTATTTACTCAAACATCGAACACATCAACATTCTGGACCAGGTTTCCTTGATGTATAATATATGCCCCTATCCGGCTGCAAAGCCTCTAAATTGGCAGACTGTTTGCATTTTAATGAAAGTAAAGTATAAATAATTTGCAATATAGTACTAATAATTTTTACACTGCAATAAAATAATTCGTCATTTTCCATAGATTATTCCCCCTGAATCAAATGTATGAGTATGTATACACACACACACAATAACTAAATTTTTGGAGAAGTACTTTAAAACTGATACAAGTTAGGCAATTTTAGACACTGTTAATCAGTATGATTAATTTACAGAGACTGCTTTTATTGTGAGGCACACCATACTCCAATTAAAACTCTAATTAAGGCTTGCTTATATTGAAACTAAGCTGCTAGACTATTTTCTAGACAAGTAAATCCATTATCATAAAACTGAAATAATTTGGACTTTAAGAATCACATCAGGAATTGACAAAAATAACCCTGTTTCTAAAATTAAGTACTACCACAACAGTCCCACGATAATATTTACCATAAGCTTCTCTCAGGTAGTAAAACCACTAGTTGAATGTGTTCACACAGATCTAGAAAGCAAACATCTGCAGGACTGAATGAGCTTCACACTGATGTACAAATTTCAGAAAGCTTCACTGAAAAGACGACAACTTATGCATGCCTGTAGATTCAACCGTATGCATGGTTTTTGGTTGGTCATACAAGGCCAAAATGATTCATATAATATAATGAAAGGGGTAACCATCACTAGTTATGCTACAAGATGTTCTCCATCTAGACAACCCAAATGTCTGAAAACCTCCTTATTTATGGACAAAGGTCCCAGCCTTTTGTAAATGAATCTTAAAATAGCTACCAAATAATCTGCTCCAATAATCAAACATCACGCTTAATTAAGGCTTGTGCTCAAAGATAAAGGAATAAAGAATCTCTGTACGTTGGCTTGCAAATCCAATTAATCTACTATTTCTTCAGTGCCAAGAATGGTCAAACACAGGTCCCAGAATTATGGCTGTGTTACAGACTTCACCGTTGACAGAAGCTTCAAAATGCAACACCTGGAAAATGCAGATCACAAACCTCAGCTGCTACTTGAACCATCCACGGTGGTTTGAGGAAGGAATTCTCAAAGGGATTAAAAAGTTAAAATCATATTCATTGGAAACTTTTAAAAATTAGTTCAGTTCACTTTCTTTGTATATTCCAAACTCTCAGGCTTGTCCTTCAAACATACAAGTGAGAAGCTTCTTGTATTTCGTTCTGTATGAGCCCATTATACATCAGACAGTTGCCTGTATTTTTTTAAATGACTTCTAAGCCAAAGTGACAAAAGCATCCTAAAAGGAAAGTTATGAGAACTAGGAAGGAGAAAAACAAGACTTCATTGACACGGATCTCAGCATTGCTGAATACATTCCAGATTTTTGAGAAGTTGACTAACTACACTGATGTAAGTGTACCTGCCTCCTAGACAAAACCCAGGATGTGCAATGCTTGCTGCCATCAGCTGAGGAGCAAGGAAAAGTCTTGTATTATTGTCTGCAGGGTAGCATGAAAACCGAAAGGAAGCGTTTTTCTTTCGTTACTTATTTTCATGCTTTTAAAAAAATCAGAAAGTGCAGATAATGTCCTGCTTTAACTTAACTGTACAAATTTTGTTTGCTAGTAAAGCATGGGAATGAGTACTACTCAAATGCAATGTTTCATTAGTACTAATACGGAAATTGTCACCAATACATACAAAGGATAATCACTTTCTCTACTAAAACGAGCCCTGAGCATGTACTGGTCCAGAAGGCAAAATGACAACAATTACACAATCAGAATTCAATCCCAGTGCAACAGACAACATTTTTGTATTAAGTAAAGACACAGACAGATTTTAAAAGTTTGCTTTTATTATTGTAGTGTGACTGCGTTATTATCCAAATAAACTTTCCAACCACTTTTACACTCTATTTTCATCATACAAGTTTCAGTTGGGAATGCCACACAGCATTCTGCAACCTTCAAACTTGAAAGTTTATAGAAACATTCAGTATTTAAAGGCCTTTGCAATGTGTTTCTTTTAAAAACATTAGATTTATAAATCTAGGTGTATATTAAAGCAGATTTTTTTTTTCAGAAACCCATTGACAAACAATTCTACATGATCTCTCAAAGAAGTTTGTGTGTGCTTACATTAACTGTAGTAACCTTGTCCATGAGTACTGCTACCAAAAACATGAGCAGGAATTGCAGAGTGCTGTAGTAGTCAACGTGAGCCAGAATTTAGGCCATTGTTAATGACAGTTAATTTTGCTCAGCTCTGTTGCTCACCAGTTAATACTTAAGGCAATTTTCATTGTATACTTATTTCTCCAAGCTAAAGTAACTATGTAAGTGTTGTTCATAATACATTGACCAGAAAGTATTTTATGGCGTAAGATGTGGCAAGAAGAAGTAAGATATATTGCAGTTACACCACTTAGTTTTCTACTTAGAGCGACGAAACTCACATTTTCAATTTGTATAAAAAACATCATTATTGAAAAGCCTAACCTTTCAAATTTTATCAGAAATGCTATTTTAGATTTGATCTGAAAGGTTTATGAAGTTAGAGATGTCCTGAAGCTGGTGCTCCTCTAGGAAGGAGGGTAGAATACGTACCCACAAATACTCAAAAATAAGGAGAATCCAATGCATTGTTAACTTTAAGTAAAGAAGCCAAGAATTACATTCAAATGAGACACCATGATATGATTCTTTTCACTACTGCGTACTAAATTTCAGTAGCTCCAACAACTTGGTAAAAAGAATAATTTTATTTTTTAGCCAAGACTAATATTCACATTCCACACTCTTCAATTTGCAAGGGCAATTTAACATCAGCAATCAACTCGTCAGCTGTGAAATTTCTCAGTCAATCAGTAATAAATCGAAAAGATATATCTGACATAAGGAACAGTAATGAAAACAAGTACTTAAATACTGAAATACTGGCACAAAATTGAGAAAAGATGTCATTGGTGGCATCCTTAAGTATCTGGACCATAAGATGTGTTAGCATAAAAAGTATCTAAAAAGCCAGCAGTTTGGCTTTGCACAATGCTATTTTTACCTATTGTTAATCACACATTCAAGTAACAAACAAAACAATAACTGGAGATGGCGTTAGCTGTCTCCTGAATATTCTGCAGAAGCCTACCTTGCTGCTTTTGAGGTAGGATCTTCTCCCATCCTTTGATCCCATGAACCAGTCAACACAAGGCAGAATTTGGTCCCCAAGGTGTGCACGGACTGCACACTTAAGTATAACACAAAATATAACAATACTTTAAATGAAAAAAAGGACGTTTCATGGATTTTTGGAATGTTAGGAGACTTCAAGTAACCTGTTAAAGATTCTATTCCAGACAGTTATGAAAATGACTATACAGTGAACTGATTTAAAATAACAGTAATTTTGAACAGAAAAATTGGATTGAGAAAACACAATGTTCCAGGAAAGAACTGTGTGTTTTGTGATCTATATTTATTCTTTAAATATATTTATATTTTTATACTGCAGACTGAATCATTTACACATATAAATACAACAGTAGCGAAGAAGTATAAAGATTTGATTTTTAGAAGTAAATGGAGTAGAATTTTACACAGGTCTCTTTCAGCACATTTTAAAATTTGATTTCTGCCATAGTTGCAAAAGTTGGAAATATTCTTTGATAGTTTTATCATAGGCTTCTCTCCCCTCTTGTGAACATGAAGATAACTTTAACATAAAAATAAACGTAAAACAGTTCTTAACCTTGCCTTCACACACATTTAACAATATTTGCTCAACTCACACATATCAGTTATTATAGTGATTCAAGAGAAAAATGTATTTTCACATAGTTGAATCTCAGTCTGACAGACAACCAAAATCTCCTCAGAAACATAAAATTCTTACTCTTGTGTCACTTCCTCTTTAGGCTGTTTGAGCTCAGTCAGTAACTCTTTACCAGTTTCTCCTGCTTTTGAGGCAAAGAGAATAGCTCCCTGTTTAAAGCCCAGGAGCTTCAAGCTTCTGGCATAATCTGCATATACAGCATGGATCAATTTATGTAAACGAAGCATTATGGAAAACACAAATTAATAGCAAAATGAAAAGACTCAGAATGTTTGTTTTGTTTCTTTTCCCCTCACTCCTTAGCTCTCCCAAACTGAAAATGAGGAACATTGCTGTCAATTGTGCTAATCCAGTATTTTTTAGCACAAATACAGACAAAAAAGTTGTTTTAAATTCTACTATTGAATATTATAATTTATCAGGCAATATGCCAAGTGCTATAAACTAAACCAGATATACTTCAGATACGCATAAGTACTTACCATAATACCATGTCATAACTTGCAAAAGAAATTAACTGAAAGGTCATACTACAAGATTTATTTGTTAATTAGATCTACATGACTTATTTGTGGCTTTTTTTATTTACAGGCTGACATCAGTGATGACGCCATAAAACACAATCAGGTATTATTTACATATGCATTATTATTTACTGCATATAATACAAAAGTTAGAGTAACTGTTCAGAGTTTCCAGAACACCAGGTTAGATGTGCAGACTGTATTGAGCAATACTTTGGACAGCTTTTAAAATATTTACTACATTTTCAGCTCATCTGATCTTGACCTTTAATTTTCTTTTGTTTTCACTGACTTCAGAACTGACTCCTTCATAAAGGACTTCAATCACTAAAACTGTGTGTTGGTGTATATAAGAGTTCAAGGAAGGGATTTGTTTTTCCTGAGATACGTGTTTAAAAGATAACTGAACCACTGATTTCACTATACAGGTTGCAGTAATAATTTCCAAGTTCTGCAAAGAACATTTTATAATCTGTTTTTTTCTCTCCTGTTTATTTTTTTCACTTTTAGTTTGTTTTCCAGTGCCACAGGCCTGACAGAGCATCAGGAGGAGGTAATGTTATGGATTTATGCTGATGACTCCTTTTCACTTGCTTCCTCATACTCTTCAAACTACACAACCTGGAAAATAAAAACAGGAACTCCTATTCCCATGCAGACTAGTTCACCTAACATTGACTCATGCATACTCACTGCATATGTAAAAACAGGAACTCCTATTCCCATGCAGACCAGTTCACCTAACATTGGCTCATGCATACTCACTGTGTATGCGTACACAGACACAAAAACAGGATTTCAGAAAAAGGATATTTGTATCATCATTAACTTCAAACGCCCTGTACTTCAGACAAGCTTCAACAAATAAAGCTGCTCTATCGAAGTACCTCATACTGTTAAAAGGAAAAAAAAAGAGAATAATTTGTTAGGACACAAAACAGAGAAGTATTTCAGGACATCGCATCAGAACACTTGCACAGAGGCTTTCTAAAACTTTGCACCTAGGTCTGGAGTGGTAAATCTCTTCTGCACTGAGGGCAGAACAAGGCTTCTGACCATCACCAAGGTTAAACAGTATCACCATTCAGCTGCCACTACGGCACATATTCACACTCCCACGTAACACACTGCTCTCAGTTTCCAATGTTGCTCCACCTTGCTCTCTGCACCTTCATGCTTCGTAGGCCTTGAGCATTCGCTATATCATCACAGTGCTGAGTGCTTTCCTCATGGCAGCAAGTGCTGCTACCCTGCTCCCAGGATGTAGGAACAGGTCATATTGTTCCCACGTACTGCCTCGTGCTCCTTTTGCACCTGTTAGTCTGGCACTGCCCTCTCTCCAAGCTTTTTACATCTCCCCTTCCTCCTTGCACTCAAGGAACTGACATTTGATGCAAAATTTTTGAAAGATCAAGGCTCAACTTATTCAGAAATAATTGTAGCTACTATAAATTGTCTGCTTGTTCAACGGGTGCTAGTAATCTTAAAGCCTCCAGTAAATTTAAATGCCAGTATATTTCCTGAAATTGCAAAAAACCCATCAGTTCCAGCATACAGAAATGATGCACTGCTGAGGTTAATTAAAGAAAATCATGCCAAAATACAAACAAATGTCAGAAATCAAACTGCAGATCCCCTCTCCCCCCCTTGACTTCTGATTCACAAATGCTTAGATAACAATTTTGGACAGGACAAAATACAGATTGTGCTGATTCACCTTTACCTGTGCAACATTTCTGCAACTTTTGCAAAGCATCCAAGTGACAAGAGGACAAGAATAGCTTTGGACTTCTGGTTGACTTGTGGAGAGCAAAGGTGATCTACCCAACGCTTTAACACATCAGCACACTCCTCGGAGTTCAAACGAACCTTTTAAGAGATGAGAAAGCCAGTTATGAATTCTCAGCAGCTAGCAAAAGACAGCATTCTGCTTCTGTTTCATTTTTTTCAGAGAAACACTTTGGGCAGAAGTAAAAGCATCTGAAATTACCGGTCTTATTATGAAAAGTACACTTATCCCTTGAATTAACACAATATACAGGAAAACTAGAAATATATAGGTAAAAAAAAAATTCCACTTGAATCATTCCAGGTTTACAAGTGATTAACATTATTTTTACCACAAGGCTGTTCTAAACCCCCAAGAATCAAGAAGTTAGAAATCTTTATCCTTTACTGAAGACTTAAGGACAATCCATCTTTATTTTTCTTAAGAGCAGGATTCACTCATTTTGAAAATCTGAGTACAACTTTTTCCATACTTTCTGCAGGAAACACAACAGAATCTTTACTTAGAGACACTGAAAACTGACTCCTGTCCATTATAATTTGGAGAATTAATGCTATGTCTAGGTACTTTTACTGCAATTACGTTTGCATACCAAAACAGAAGTTGATGCAAATTTATGCAGTTGGTGCTAACTTTAGAATTAGCACACATGCTACATGGAGCTCAGTACAAAGTCACTGCCTAATTACTTATCCACTTCCAGGAGTGTTTTTTTTGTAATTTATTATCAACTCTGTACTGCTGCAGCCATATGCAACTTCACAAATCACTGCTCAAAAATTAGAAAATTGAGTACTCCAACCATTTTTAGGCCTCAAATCCTGTCATTTGGACAACCAGGGCAGATCTCTGTAGTCAAAAGGCTGAAGAAGATCCTGTCAACACTGATTGAATGGATTGGCTTGTTAGAGCTTAACACATGGAAAAGCACACTGATGATGATATTTCAAATTGATGTTTCAGTTTTTTAACTCTGAAAAACTTTAGCACCCTCATCAGCCTTCATACCTACGTATAGTAAGTAGGTCATTTATGTTAGCAAACTGAAAATTGAGACATTACACACCTTTGCAAGCCATGCTGCGCGATTCCATTCGCCATAAGTTTGCAAGTAACGACAGGCATCAGCAGCTTTATCGATCAGACACAGTAACTGTACACCCTCTGGAAAATAAAAACCACACTATATGATAAGTTAAGGGAAAAAAGAGTTGTTATGTAAGTTTGAGCAGATCACTCATCCCCAGAAAAAGGATCTCTATCTCCTTCTTAGCATATGAAGGTTGAAAAACCCTAATTTCTACCACCTGGCTCTCCATACAACCTGGGTGTCAGTTATCATATCCTTTTCCTGGGCTACAGAGCTTAGAAGGACCTCACAACGCTCTCATTTATCTTTGTCCTGAATACAAATGACAAGGAGTTCACTGGATTTCTCATCATAAAGAGATAATGACCTTTGTCAATAAAATAAACAGATTTCTTAGTAATCCTTTATTTTAATTTAATGTTGTCCATAGTGTAATTATTAACAGTGAAGTGTTCATTGTCCACAGAGTAGAAAGTATTTTTTCCAGGAAAGTACAGACATTTGTACTTTCTCTGCATATTTTTGAATGTTTCAGTCAATCATCATATGGTGAACATCTCTTGCATTAAGTAAAATTAACCTGTACATGTAAGAAAACATACTTTTTGAAACAAGTTCTGAACTGGAAAGGAAACGAAATCTGTATTTCAACTTCAGTAATGAGAGACCAATTTTTAATTAATTCTTTTATTAGGAAAGTGGAATATGCATAGTTTTATGTGCTCAGCCTTTTTTCATGCAAACAATTGCTAAGAGGATTACTCCAGAAATACATTTTCCAATGAAAATTAATCAAAACCAGTTGAACTTCATAACTGAGTTACTGATCATTTTTGTGTTAACCACTTTAGGTAGTGCAAACTGTAACATATGCAACACATAAGACCTGTTACAACAGGACTTCCTCCTCTCCTGTCTCCATTAGCAGCCTTGATAATGACCAGAACTACTAGTTTACAAGTAAACAGAAAATTCAAGTCACATTTTACCTGCGAGCTTTCCATTAGCTATCATGTTGGTTGCTACCAGTTTAATGGTACTTTGAGATGGTCCTGATGAGGTAACAGTTGTGACCAAGCAAGCTTTGAGTGAATCGCAGTAATAATGTGCATTCTCTGAACTTGTTTCTAACAATAGTTGCACTGCTCTGTCAGTCTGGCAAGAAACAAAAAAAATACAACTTTGACCACAACATATTCACTTTTGTTTAAAAGTCTTTACATTTTTACCCTTTTTAAGACATGGAACAAGTAACAATGAAAGTTATTCTAAAACACATTACAAAAATATCTACCTGCAGAGTAATAATTAAGATTCTATTTCAATAAGGCACCCATAGTAAGGGTAGCATTTAAAAATTCATCATGAATATAAAGTTTAATCACGGACTAATATTTCTAGAAGAGGCCAAAGAAAAATTTAATTCAGAATATTTAATTCGTTGTTTACATAAACTTTTGTAGAGTTATAAAAGGAAGAGAAGCATTTAAAATAGGCAGAGAAGAAATAAAATTGTCAAGATGCAGAAACCAGCCAGGATCTCAAGGACTGATTCAATACCTAGTATTTTAAAAAAAAGGTAGAATTCATCCATTTAAAATGTTAGCGACAGCTCAGCACCTCATCAGTGGGGCTCATTACCCTGGCTGCAGACACCTGTCTCCAAACTGAATGAATCACTGCAGGCATGTCACCTCTGCCTGTTACTAAAAGGAGGTGCCTAACTTCTAGAGAGGTCAGTTTGGTGAGGTCCGTCAAGCCGATGGCTTAGGTAATTACAGAAATAATGAAAAGCCACATTAAATACATATTAAAATCCAGTCCAGTGATTTAATAAACTGGCATTTTAAAGTTTCAAGAAACTGGTATTTTAAACAGACTATCTACAGACTAAATATTTCTGGCATCTTTTACTGGTAACATTTGTTGATATGCTGAAATGCAAAGTGGCATAGACACCATTTAAGTTCAAACCAGTAATACCAAAGCTATTTCTGGAAATGGATGCAGCACAACTGCATTATTAGGGAACAGCTCATGATATATACCACACAAATGCAACAATATTCTTATCAAGGTCCCAGTGAGCAGCTCTGTACAGTGTCTTACTGCTCAGTACAGATGCCAAAAGCTTAGGTACATCCTTTGTTACCTAAAATGAGAGTACTAAGTGCAGACCGAGTTATCCCAAAGATGTTAAGTTTTAGTTGTTTCTGGGAAATTCAAAATGTAATTTCTCTTTCCTAGTCACAAGATGGAAAGAAAAATTTTCACACAGTTCCCACAAAAATGAAATAGTCTGAAGCAGGTAACACCAAACATTACCATATACCATGTCATTAGACAGACTCTGCAGTGTAATAACACATTAAGACAGCAAAAACTATGCACTGGGTGAATAAGAGTATGAAACAATACATATAAGTTAGACAAAACTTTACTTGAATAGGATAAGTATATAAAATGGACAGGAGATAAGAATAAAAAAATCAAATATTACCCACAAACCTGGCCCAAGAGGAGAAGTTGATCAGCACATTTCCTGGTATGATCATATGTTGATCTCTTCACTTCCTGGAGATTTACCCTTTCAAGTTGGAATTTCTGCACGAAGAAGGAGAAATATTTTAAATGTAAGACTACCATGAGAAATAAAAACAAGCATTTAAAAGATCTGGAAGCATTTTGAGAGTTTTTGGAACACCCCCTATTATTAAATAATAGGGAGTGATTTAATCTGGAGCGGTATGTCACTATAAAAGTGAAATATGTGTAAGTGAAAAGCTGTAAGATCATAAGAAGGTTACAATGCTGAGCATTAATTGTGCTGATGACATTCTTATTAAATGTATTTTTGAACTCCTTGAAATACCTGGAAGTAATAATTTTCACAAAGTATGTCATAGCATATATCCAAGGGATTAAGCAACTGTTCTTGAAGGACAGCTGTGTCTGCTGGTTTTGCAGGCTTTTCCTGGGATAAGCTGTGCAAATAGTGGGCAGCAATAGTCCAGAAATGCAGTTCAGATTCATCTCCATACAGTCTGAGAAGATACAAATCAGGCCATGAAATATGTCTGTATTTTTTCATATGCCACTTAGAAATATTATACATTTAAAATATCTTTTTTATAAAGATCATTAATTCTTGTGGGCACCACAAGTACTTTGCATTATCAATGGGACAAACTACAAGAAAATATTAAGGAACGACCTTCAGCAAGCTAGATAAGTAAGCGGCTGGCCAGAAGACTGGTACAACAGCAATTAAACTCAGTGAATGTTCAGCATATAAATATGTGCAAATTGATATTTTATTGTTATTTTACACTTAATGACTAATATCCTCTTCCAACTACAAGAAAGTTACTAAGTTTGAAAAACATTTCTGAATATAGATAGACTAAAATTAGCTACAGTTTAGGCAGAATAACAACACAGAACAATTACATTTGAAATAAAAAACATGTCTTCTCCTGTTTGCACATAAACTATTGTGCATTGTGAAGCTCTGAATTACATTTTTGGGCATTGTACAACTAAATGTAATGTAGTTAGCAGAACCGCATTTATGAAAGTACCGCCAAGACTGAAGGAAGTTCTCTGCATCCAGTAAGCAAATAAAACTAAGTATTTCAGAAAGGTAACATTTCCATTGTCAGTTTCGAAAACATGCTAATACATTAGTAACAGCAGTTTAGGAATTGCACTGAGTCAAGGGAGAATTAGTTGAGTACTTCAACTTAAGCACATTCATATGCACTAATAGGATCAAGATTTTATTAGGAAACATTTGTTATAGTTATCTGAATCTCTACTACCTGGCAACTAGGAGACATCTTTGCAAGAGAGTAAAATCCGGATCAAGTAAAAGTTTCTTTATGTCACTGCAAAAAGAGAATGCCATAAATAATCTGTGAAATGCTGTGCAAGTTTTTTTTTTTTGTTGTTGTTGGTTCTGAACACAAATAGGATATATCACCTACTAATTAAAAAAAATCAAAACCGAAAATACACAATGTCTTTTCTGAACTGAAAAAATGCATCATCAGAACAATTACAACAGGAAGTATACATAATTTGAAGTATAATTGATCTCGAGGAGTTCAGTCACTCTACCAGTTTAAATACAAATAGTGAGTCTATCAGGAACCCCTTATTCTTGTAATAAAGGGAACAACCACAGGGGTGTATACAAAGCTATAAAACAGCCTGCGGTGATTCTACAAATTACAAGATTAATTCAATTACAAATAATTTTGCAACTACGTAGTGCCATAGCATAAAAGATCCACATGCATGAATTTAGGTTTTCTACATATGTTTCAGACTGGATAAAAATATACTAAGTTATCTTTTCCATCCTACTAAATGAAAGGACAAAAGGAAAATGGAAAAACTTCTCTCTACTAGCTTTAAATATGATTTTTCATAGTTTAAATGGAATGTCAAAATCTGTTCTCTGTGTAAGCAGAGCAATGTGCATGAATGTTACTCTGGAATTTTATCTTCAATAAAAGATTTTTAGAATTGTCTTTTTTTCCTCAGAGCTTAAATATCTTAACAAACCTTGGAGTATTTAAGTAGCAGTGTCCAACAGAGTCTGGACCAACATCAAAGAACCATACATTACTGAGAAATACTGCCTAAAAAATTACTAAAGCTCACTGGTCAGTTACAAACCATATACTAACCCTAATCAGTACCTTTAAAACTCTTGTTGTCAGCCACTACTATGATAATTCAGTTAAAAATTCAATACTGACTTCCATCACGCTTGATACATTCAGAACAGTACATTTTCACTGTTGAGTCAGTATTTAACACACTAGTTTGAGATAAGTTTGCTTATTTAAAAAAAAATATTTTTGAGATTGTATTATAGTATGGTTTATTTTTATTTAGAAAAAACAGAAATAAAAATTTAAAATCTTAAATAAAATGAATAAAGCACCACCTTTAAGAGTTACATAAAAATAAACTGTTTTTAAAATAAAAGCTGTCCTTACTCAAGCTTATCTTTAGAGAGGCAAAAAGTATTCTTTCTTCATTAAGTTGTGAATCGCCACAAATTTCAGGTTTTTTGCCTTCTCGGATTCCCTAGCTTATTCAAATATTAATAGGAAAATTCTTACTTGGACAATGAATTCAACTGCTCTTGAAGAAGGTTTTTAATATTTTCATTCTCTGCATAATCACTGGATAAAAAAAAGAAAAAAAGAAAGAAAAAGGTTTCCTATAGTAGCAAAATGACAAAATTATCTGAAATGGAAGAGTATCACTGGTAGCAGAAAAACACAAGAACATACATGGAAACAATCTTCCATATTCTTATGTTAAGCCATTCATGCAAGATTCTTTCTCTAGTTACTAGTTCCAAAACAGTAATGAAAGATTGTTTTTGCTCTTTCTCAGCCTCAGAAACAGTGCTACCAATCTTTCTTTTCCCACTTTTCTTTTATTCATTAACCTTGAAATTAATGAAAATGACAATGCCTAGCCCATTATTATGTGGCCACCAAGAGTACACAAGCACAATAAAGGAAACAGAAAAGTTCTCCTACTATGATGTGAAGCATGGCTCACCAAAAGTAAAGACAGGTCTATTAGACTATCAGTTAGGCTATCACTTTCAATTGCACTTTAGGAACCAACTCTGATTATTCTTACATTAACTTCTTGAACATAGAGAATGCACAGTTGTTCTCTGAAGTAATACAACCTGTAAATGACATAAAAATATTGCAGATACCCTAAAGCAGACAACAGTTTTCAACCCACAAGTGCTACTGAAAGTCAAAAGAAATAAAATACTTGACTTTAAAGCCTTCTCTGTTTATTACTTTTAGTAATAAATAGTGAAGCTCTTATCTTTTTGACAGTCTCAAAGAGTGAGGAAGCTTACAAATCTAACAGTCATTTGCAGAGAAAGACTAACAAAAGATGTAGGATTTAAAAAAAAAATAATTTTCCATATAGATATACATATCTTCTTACGTGTTCATAATATCTAGAGAATATTTCTCATTCCATGGCTGATGCAACAAGAATGCTTTTAAAGCTAATGAAGCCCTTGGAACAAGCAGATAGGGGCACCATGCAGGTTCTGAAACAAAAGGAAAAGATTCATTGTTGAGTGGCTAATGTGCAGTAATACTGTGTTCAGTAACCATAAAAAGATACCACCTTGTTTGCAAGCACCAGAAGAAAAATCACAAATCACAGTCTTTTCATATATACAGTGTGGGTTAGTACAGATAAAGGCTTATCTTTACTTTCAAGGAAAAACATTTTATAGAAGGTACAGGGTTATCAACCATGCGCAAATGAGAATTTCAGGACAGTCCATATTGAATTTAGCCATAAACTCCTGGAATACATCATACTGGCATTAAGCAGAGCTGTGTACGATGATTATTGAAACTACAAGGACATGCTGGAAAATAAGTATAGCTATATCAAAACGCAGCATAATGCATGTTCTAGTTTTACTTTGCAATTGTTGTTTCTACAGTATAATACAAAGATCAATACCCATCATCCGAAAAGGGTGTTGTGAAGTTTAACATATGCCTATATTAGCAAAGAAATATGATGAAAATTATAGCACTAACTGCTGTCACACAAATTTAAAAGTCAGTAAGTCTGTGTTCAGTACAAGGTTTGGATCGTATGCAGTAAATGCTACCCAGTGACTTAGGAGTGAAACAAGTACCAACCAGCTACGTTATTAAATATTCAGCAATTCCCTGTACTTCGTATGCACTGAATGATGTAGGAATCTTGTAAATGAGATTTTGTAATTAAAAGATTATCACAGTGTAAAGGCAGAAGGACAGCTAAATCACAGGCAACCTTAACCCTGGCATATCCTAATTTCAGTGTGGTTGGTTTCAGAACATGAATTTTTATAGCTTAATATTACAGAACATTCATTTGATAGTATAAATAGCTGTGATAAATCATGTCTTTCTTCAAACATCCCACACCACAGCTCCCCACATCACAATTTTGTTTATTACATATGTCTTAGTCAGAATCTACATGTTTTAAGGAAATTGCATGAGTAAAAGCAGGATTGACCAAAAAGATGAAAAAAAAAGCAGTTATTTGGAACACTAGTAAGAAAAAAAACAGAAAAATGTAGCTTAGTTAACTATTTAAATATTTAAATTTACTTCTTAAACATATGGCAAAAAAAAAGTCAAACAGGACTAATATTGCTATTTTAGAGTTCAGTGGGAAAAATCTATTTTGAAAAGCAATGAATCAGTCTACAAACTGCCTTTGATACTTGGAAATACCAGAAAAGATATTTTCACACATTAACAAATCTTTCAAAATCACATAATGAATATCAGTGATGTAGGCACTGATACCTAATTGATGTACCAATGCTTCTCAGGTCAACTTGCTAGACATCTGTACAAAAAGCTATTACTTTGATAATTTATATTCCAATTAAGATATCAAAAAGTACAGTTTGTTTATGAGATTAAACTTGTACCAAAAAAAACCCAGAACATATAACCAAAACCTAAAAATTTTATCTGCATCTATGAAAACTGCCATAGGGACACCTGATCCTCTACATGTGACAATTCTCTGTTCTAATAGAAGTGCTGAAAATTTTTATGGTCCACTTTCGAAATGACGTATCTAGCAGTCAATAGCAAAAAAGAAATCAACATACCTATTAAGTCCTGTTCGTCCATTCTAAAACACGATGGTCTCATGGACAAGTCTAGAACTCTAATGCACCCATCATCTGATGCCAAGACCACTTTGTCTGAAGTGCACCAGTCCACATCCAGGATTCGGAAATTGACGTTTCTTCCACTTCTTAAACTGCTCACCATTTGTACCTTGAAAAGTTATTTTTTATTTTTAGTAGGCTCTCCATCACACAGTTTAAGACTCTGTCACGTGCCCATGAGGCACACCGCAAAATTTGCAATAAAAGGTGAAGTTAGTCATAAATCATTTTAATGATTGTCTTTTTGGGAGAGTAGAGAATTTAGAAACCTTGGAGTAGGGCACATGGCTGCCCTGAAACAATACTTTTTCCCAATTGAGAGCTGAGAAAAGATCCTCTAGAGCACAGCTGTAGAGCTGCCTTTTTGTTATTTGTTTCTGACATAAAATTTCTAAGGTAAACTGGTGGAAATTTATGTTCCCTCTTTAATTCTAGTCCCTGACCTAACACACATACATCAAGGCAGAAGTGAGGCTCTCGTCAATTAACTCATGCTTTTCGTAAACATATACCTTCTTGATAAATACCAAACTCGTCTAGAAATACATTTAGACATACTACTAACATAACATTATGGTAATAGGATGATTTATTGTCCACAAACAAAACAGATAAACAAAACTTTCTAAACCGCACTTTTAACCACAGGTCAGTAGTTAGACAATTTGTAACCTTTCTGTAGCATCACAGAACACTACAGTTGTTAATGTAAGGAAATATTAACAAAGCCTCCACTGCAATCAACATTCTGCTGTTTCAAATCACTTGTTCAGAGCAAAGCATGGAGTTAGAGAGATGTAAGGTACAACAGCTCTAGAGCATGATTACTCTTAGCAGCGAGAGAATTAGAGAAAAATGTGGAAATACCGGATAACTGGTTGTAGGCAAAGGTGAAGTTCTAAGGAGAGGATTATATGGATAATAGGATGGAGACTGTAAAATATTTCTACAGATATTCTGAAAGATTTTTGGCTGACAATGTGAATTAATTTTAAATACTTACATTTGGAAAATCTTCCCCTTGCCCCAGAAAAAGAGAAGGAAGAGCTACAGAAGTAGTATCCTACAGCATCAAAACTATTTAAACGTGCTTCAAGGAGAGACTCATGGGATAATATTCTACTCCGCCTACGTAATTCACAGATGTTGGTCATACCTGCTCTCCGACTCTTACCATCAACAAAGAGTTTCATACTGCTCAAAATTAAAGTGTCTGAGTTTGGAGCTGGTGCTCATTACAAAGTGAACAGAAAAAAATTAAAATTCCTGTTTCATACCCTCATACCTGAACTTACTCTGGGGAGCTAAGCTAAAACAGTACAATTATCTTTTCTTCCCCATGGTGCTATAATCCCCTGAAACACCTATGAGGCAAACCCCAGAAGATTTCTGAATGTTACTACAGAATTTCTGAGGAAGATGAGAAGCTAGACAACGTTAATTAACAACTGTCTAGCCTTCTGGTATTCCCTAATGAATTAAATTGATGCACTGAAGAATATATACTCTTGACTATACACAGAAGTTAAGAAATCTGTAGTGAAAATACTCTCTTGTCCAAAGACTGAGGACTTCCCATTAAATTTTCAATGTCTGCCTCAAAAACATTACAAGACAATGACAAAGAATATGTCAGAGACGTTGTCAGCTTTATGAGTGAAAGGTACGTTTCATTAATGACAGCTTAAAAATGCTTTATAGGAACTAAAAAGTCTTCTGAGAAAAGCCATACAACTTCATCATATAACTGTCAGTAAGAAATCATGACTAAGTAAAACTTAATCCCTGACTCGTCCTGATTTTCAGAAGTAATATGTGTATTTTGCAAAGAAGCGCATATGAAACCAATGACACTTACCTCTTTTGAATCCCAAATTTCTGCTCCATCATTGTACATTGCAAGAAGTTTTTGATTTCCTTTCCCTGGGGCAAAACGTATCTTTTTCACCCAGCTTCGGTGTGTAGGAATTCCCCTAAGAAAAGCAGAGCACAAAATTAGTACCAATCATTCTATATTTAATATAGTGGCTAGTTAAATCCTCTCCATGAACATTGCAGATGCTGATATTGTATAGATTGAGGAGAACAATCTATTTACCTATATATGCACACACAAATGGCTATCCAAATTATGAAAACTAAGAAGATTAAATGCTTGAAATAAATACCACAATACTTAACGTTTTCTCAGAAGCCATTGCAGATTTAACATAAGATAGATATTTATCTTAAAAATTTTGATAAAATGTTACTCTATCTGAAAACACAAAAGATGAAATGTAGAGAACTGTAACACAGCAGGCACTTTCTGAAATTTTGTTTCAAAATGCTTGCATTTTTCCCCTCAAACACCACAGATGATGTCCTACAACGAAGAACAAAAATATGGGAGGGGAAAAAAACATTCTAACGCTCATTATCTCATGATGGTCAGACTTAATTTGCATTCATACCTGGATACTCTAGCTTTCAAATCCCAGAAGTTTAAGTTTCCATCAACATCTCCAAGAACGAGGATATCCCCCTTCCAGGCAATACATGTAATGCTACCCATACTTCCCTAGAAATGTTTAAGCAGAAGAAAAAAAAAATCTCGTGTTTAATAGAGCCAAACATAGGAACAAATATTTCAACATTAATATTTCATTTAAAAAAATATTATATGGTTTGATAAGCCAAATTCTGCTCAGTTAAAACAGAAACAATTCTATTGCATATAAGCATTTATCAAGTCAGTCATATTTCCTTCGAGATGGTTCAAAAGACATTTCCTTGTAAGAAATTTTGGATTTAAAGCAATGGAAATCACTTCTCTGTCTCTTGTTGCAAGGAAACACCAACATGACAGATGTCATTAATCACAATACTAGCAAATACTAAAGTAGGAAACAAAAATAAAAGAATTCCTATTTGTAAATTCAATTTATCAAAGCCTTCAAGAACAAATAAAAAAAGAAAGACTGTTCTTCAGACTAAGTGGGAAAAAAACCCAAACTTAAAACTCACAACACAGTGCTCTGGCCCACTCAAGTCCTCCTGATGATGTAAGATAAAATCCATTAACAGAGCATAGTCATGCTTCAATAACATTCTTTTTGTTATTCAAGCTTTTTGTATATGCCTTACTAAAATTCTTAAAATATGTAATTTATTCAGAAACCAAGTCAGGGACTATGAAGATTCCGACTTGCAAAAAAAAAAAAAATATCATTTATTTCAACAGCATTTTCAATAGAAAAACTAAGATTGTGAAAACAGAATTTCTACGGTCTTTGAAGTTGGAATTTTAATTTCATATTTCAAACTACTGCTTTAATGACTACTTGCCACTAAAATGCATATCCCTGCTTTTTTTTTCTGGCAATCATAGCTAAGAAAAAAATGAAAGCATCAATGATATAGAAAATTGGAACTCACATCAGGAGGAACTCTTGCACTGTCTTTTACTGAGTTGCCTTCTACTGTGAGATGATAAACCTGCCCATCAGCACCTGTAAACACAAAGTGCTCTCTGGCAGAAATGTTCTGGCTCAGCTCCGATTTACTTTCGGCTTCCTGTAACAAGCTTTAAAAGCGAATGCAATGAGACACAAGTATTTCTTTCTTGACACTAGCATTGCAAAGTAAATTCTCCCTAACTAATGCACAATAAAAAATACATATACCCTTCAAAACAATTTATCCAGAAGCAACAGTTAACTCATGTATACACTTGTGGAAATGTTCAGGGGCAAATAAGAGTTTTACTCCAAGAACCAGGTAACTAACGGACTGCTACAGACACAACTTAGAGAAACAGGTACGCTGTTTCTCTCGTTCAGCAGTAAATCAAAGTTCCACATCTACAAGCTAAAGGGAGGTCCATCAAGTTGCTTTGCATGGTATCTACTCAAGAATCAGTTCCAAAATATTCTGTTCTATAGAACAACGGCACATGGTGGAAAAACAAAAACTGATGCAGAACAGCATCAGAATAATACCTGATCACAGAAGATTCTACACTGCTGACTTCAGTATCTGATGCAACCGTCTGCCGGGCCATGGCCTCACGGGCTGCTAACTGCTTCTTCCTCAGGCTTTTTAAATTATGAGAAGGTGACCACTCCTGTGAAAAATTGTCCAGGAAATCGGAAAAGACAAATGTTTACTCCCAGAATTTACTGGGGATTTTTCTGTTAATTACAATTATTTCAATAAAGACTGTTTTCTAGGATACCTCCCTCCACAACCCAAGTGGTAGACCAGATTTTTCCACTAGTACCTCCTTCTTTCTTGGCCCTATTTGATGACAGATGAAAACTCTATCCCAGCCAAAATCAGGACATACAGATACAGGAACACTTTGCTGCAAAGTTGTACATATATTTTTATACAATCTCAACATATTACCTTTAATAAACAGTAAGTAATAGATTTTATTCCTTACCAAAGCAGTTGCTGTAGGGAAGTTTTTAGACATTTCTCTGAGCAGAGTGCATGTTCTGACATCCCAGATCTCCAGTGGTTTGTCTTTAAATACTACAGCTAGATACTGCCTAAAACAAATTAGAATTTACTATATCAAAAGCAATCATTTCATTATTCCATTTTAATTTGAGCAGTTTGCTTCACAAGTCGATACTGCCTAAAACAAATTAGAATTTACTGTATCAAAAGCAATCATTCCATTATTCCATTTTAATTTGAGCATTTTGCTTCACAAGTGTTGTTCATATTGGAACTCTGGAAACCCTCAAAAACACAGAAGCAGCAGAGTAAATTAATTTGGCTCTTTTTTCTGAAAAACAGTCCTCCTTCAAAGCTAAAAGAATTAGAAATTTCTGCCAGGTGGTACTGCTCGATTACTGTAAAGGAGACACGGGAAGTGACTCAGAGAAAGCAGCAGCACCTCTAATTTAGCCATATTTAGCCCGAGTTGATCACTGCACAAGATATCAGAGAGACACACCAAGACTGTAGGATGGACAGGTTTTTTTTTCTCTACTCCAGACACATGCCACTTCCCTAATCCACTGATAAATGAACATAAAATCCTCTTACACTAAACCATTTGTCAGTCATATCTTCAGAATTTTCTTCTGTGGAGTTAGATGAGTAAAACACCTTCAATCTACCACTTTTCACATTTATCTTGAAAATACAGAGAGGCTCTGCAGCTATATGCACTCTTCACAACTGCATTGGTCTCAATTCAAACGAACTATCCTTTCTTTTGGGTCACAACAACCCCATGCAACACTACAGGCTTGGGGAAGAATGGCTGGAAAGCTGTCTAGAGGAAAAGGACCTGGGGGTGTTGGTCGACAGTCGGCTCAACATGAGCCAGCAGTGTGCTCAGGTGGCCAAGAAGGCCAACGGCATCCTGGCTTGTATCGGGAATAGTGTGGCCAGCAGGACTAAGGAAGTGATTGTTCCCCTGTGCTTGGCACTGGTGAGGCTGCTCCTCAAATACTGTGTTCAGTTTTAGGCCGTTCATGACAAGAAAGGCATTGAAGTGCTGGAGTGTGTCCTGAGAAGTGAAGTCCAGTGAAGCTGGTGAAGGGCCTAGAGCACAAGTGTTATGAAGAGTGGCTGAGGGAGCTGGGGTTGTTTAGCCTGGAGAAAAGGAGGCTGAGGGGAGACCTTATCACCCTCTACAACTATCTGAAAGGAGGTTGTAGCAAAGTGGGGGATTGGTCTCTTCTCCCTGGTAACAAGTGATAGGACAAGAGGAAATGGTCTCAAGTTCTGCCAGGGCAGGTTTAGATTGGATATTAGGAAGAATTTCTCCACTCAGGGAGGTGGTGGAGTCACCATCCCTGGAGGCATTTAAAAGACATGTAGATGTGGTGCTTAGGGACATGGTTTAGTGCTGGACTTGGCAGTGCGAGGTTAATGGTTGCACTTGAGGACCCTAAAGGTCTTTTCCAACTTAAACGATTCTATGATTCTTGTTCTCACTTAACATTCTAGTCTCTTCATCTAAGTCCATGGTTGTTCTTAATTTTTAATGTATTGGTAAGATCATTACATGGTTGAACTCTTCCAAATTCTCTGGAACACATACATACTTCTGTAAATATTCCTATGCAAGCTAGAGAACATTAATTCCTTCCTCCACTGTAAACAAAAAAAAACCCTTCTAAAATTTAGGTACAATGCCTTATTAAATTCAACACTACTTTAAATTAATTTACACAGCAAAGTAAAGTAATCTCACAGAGTACTACTGTCATTATTTTTGATACTGTAAAGACCAGGACCTCCTGTCACAGGCCTGATCTCAAACTAAGCAGGATTTGATGGTAAACAATCTGGTCGTTTATCAGTTGACTTCTCAAACAACTATACCTCACATCTGGTTTTCCAGTAGACAATTATTGTAAAGGTGTGAAATAAATACTTAGAAAAATTAACAAACGTGAAAAATCATCCCACCTTTAACGCCAGTCTCCTAGTTTTAAGTAAAGCTTAAGTGATAGAAAAAGGAATTAACTCATAACATAATCAAAGTTGACAAAAATTGTTCAGCACTTCGATTCTCCCTAATATTATCAAAATGTCCATACACTGAACACAATTCTTAAAAGAACTACAATATTAAGAACTGATCTTGCAATGTGATTGGATCCTGAAGTTACAAAGTCAACCACAGAAACATTCACAGCTTCTGCACTTTGAACTAATATTCTGAAGTATTTTTCTCTTGATGCTGTTGCACATTTTTCTATTCTCTCTGGAGTGTTTTTTCCTGGAATTTGTATTATTTCTATGAAGTCATGAGGATCTTCATGCAGTACAGTAAAATTTATAAACTTCAAAAGGCTAATCTACTTACTTCAAATGAGACACCTTTATCATTTCAATAGCTGGCTCGTCATTGCCTCGCTCCCCACGAAATGCGATGCTCCTGCCTGGAAGACAAAAACAACATGGGGGAAAACAGACATAGTTACTAAACTAAATATAAATCTAGAAACAGTTTATAAACTATTCTGTTTGTAAACAGAAATAGTTTACAAACTAAACTAGAATATCTCCAAGTAACTTGCTGTATCTTACATTACTCTTGTCATTGTCAAAGTTCTACTGCATTTCAAAGGACTAAATATAATGTAAACTCTATCGTCTAATATAACTGACTCACTTCCCGAGCACAACTACTGAAACTGATGCACCATGAGCATTACACAAATACAGAGTTCAAAGAGTCATTATCTTCCATTCAAAGACGATGAGATACACTTCTCAGCTCCCCAAGGAAGAAATTCAAGTCCTAGTTTTGTAAGAGAAATTAACTCTGCCATAAACTAAGTCTGAAAGTAATTTCCATTGTAAAGTACTAACTCATTCTACTCTTAGCAGAACCATTCTCTCTATTCCAAAGAATAAATCCAAAGAACTTATTATCTCATCCCCAACAAAATTTTCACCCATCTGTACAAAGCATTGCAGAATTAAAGGCATTACACATATCACTAAAATAAAGAACGATCTACAAACACCAAGGTATCACAGCATCTCCTATGCAAGTTTCATTCTCCTTAGTTTTCAAAGAAAATTCAATTTTTCAAACTTTAGCCACTCCTGTAGCTGTTCATAGCTAAATTACTTATCTTATGCCAATTATGTGAATAAATCTAGTTATCAATAATGCTAGTTAGAGCTTTCATGTCAGAGGCCAGGCTACAGGAAACCTTCCAGCTCTATTTTCTTCATTAGTCATGAAACGCCTTAGGAATTTCCCTCCTTGTTTTTGTTCAGAAACTTAAATGAGAGTTTCACCAAAATGTTCATGAAGTAAGTACAAGTCAGGACAGTTTTCCTAGCCCTAATTAGAAAGTTGGGCTAATTAGTAATGGACAAACCAACAATCAAACAGTTAAGTAATTATGCCTTTCTTGTAAGCTTCAAAAGAAGAAACATAACATTTTTTTAAGCAAACCATATGCTAAGGTCTCAGGTACTCACATTTACTTGAAACTTGGTTGCCTGAAGAAATACTGAATCATTGATCACTTATATTTATAAATGTTTCAATACTGATTTACAAGCTTAGTGAAAAATCAAAATCCCATTTTACATGAGATTAATTTTACAAACTACCTTTTTTTTGTTTTGATTTTAAACAAATGAATAAAAGATATTATATAGAAAAAAATTACAATACTGTCATGTTAAAAGAATAGCCTCTTTGTGCAGCATCCTGGAGATACAAAAATTGAGTCTTTTCCATAAGCTTAAAAAAAAAATAAACTCACTTTATGCTACATAAAGCAATTCAGAATTAGCCATGCATTACAAGGCTTTTCAATTAGAAATTAAATGGCTCCAGGTTTTCACATTCAAAAATAACTTAAAATTATTGAAGTGCTTCCTATTCTAGGCCACCTAATCTCCCAAATTATACCTCCTAGTATTATGCAAATATTGAGTTCAATCACAAATACATTTGTTATCCATTACAAGGCCAGAATAGTTGAAAAACACATATAACCTGTTAGTTTTACTATCAACAGTATCTTCTACGAAATTATTTATTTTTTAGCCCTTCCACTTCTTTATAAAAGGACCAGATTTTACTATTAAAAGACCCATTTTACATTCATAGACACACTCAAATTCTGGTCATGTGCCTGGCCTGTCTTGAAAAATTATCTGTGGCTGATACAAACCACAATAAATGGTTCAACACTATTTCAGGTGCACATCAAACAATGGTGTAGACTGTGACAAAACACATTTGGAAATACATGCATTTTGTCAACAAAATGTACCACTAACACCCATGCTGTGTGAATGCTTCTAAATCTCCTGCTGACACATATTCATTCTTTTAGTAAGTCCAAGCCACAGACATCTTTGCAAAGGTGTTGTTTCAAGTCTGTCTGTGGAGCACCAGATGGAACACATTACATGGCTTCACAAGGACAGTTAAAACTACTCTTTATTATTTTATTTTGTCATGACAACAGAAGGAAAAAAAAAAAAGTAGTAAGAACTTAGGTTTGTCACTCCCCAGCAAATCTGTCAGCCTCTCATATAGATTTCTCATGAAATACTAACCTGTTGGTAGGTCCACCAGCTGCAGCTCATTCCTCACTAGCCCCAGATTGTTAGGTGTTGATGTGGCAAAGGAAATAAACCCACTCAAGCTTATCCACTCAATTCCCCTGTCATCAGAAAAGAGTACATGGACCATATTAGCCAAAATATTTGAATGGCTAGAAAATACCCTGGACTGAAGTACAATATTTTTTTCATGCACATTCTTCAACTTGAAAACAGCACAGAAGTAATTTTCTACACTTTATGGGAACACTATATTTAAGCATAAAAAGAAGCTACGCATTTACAACTATGAAGTATAAAATTACCAAATTAAATGAAAGAAGAGCTTTCTTTTCATACTACACTAGTTCTTGTTTGGTTAAAACAAAAATTTCAGTTAGAAACACTGGTAACTTTTGCAAATATCCCTCACAGATACTTGGCACTACAGTGGACTAAAAGCACTGCTCTGATTAAATCAGTGGTTTATCAGATGGAAAGAACTGTCAAGTAACTCTAATTTGCCAGCATAGAGAAAGAGAAAGATATTCGTATGGAAAGCAGGGTGGGTAGACTTGATTTTTTCAGTCCAGAGAGAGGAGAAACAAAGATGATAAAAAAAGAGAGGCCCTGAACAGATTTCAAAGGCTATCACAAAAGAACTGAAAACCTGGTTATTTTTGTCCTTATAGATCATGCTAAGGCAGCCACAAACCAAATTACGTTGAAATATTGCAAGGATGTAAAGTTACACTGTATACAGTATATTGTCAGCATATATGGATTCTAAGCAAATTCTTGAAATATACCACAGGCTGTCCACAAAAGGACAGAAAGCAGCACTAGGTGGTACTGTTCCAAAACGAGATAGTCCTCCGTCCCCATTTCCCACACACACTTTGTGCCAGCATAAATTGTCCAGTGTATTATCTGTGAAATAAATCGAGGAACTAATCTAAAAGAAAATTGAGACTGTTCCAATACATACATATGCCCAAGTTAATTTTAACACAGATAAAAGGATTTAGGTTTTCCTCAAATCCTTCAAACACAGATTACTTAAGAACTATTTCCAAGACATCCAAGTCTTCTGACACATCGATTCTAAAATCCTGGTCTGTTTTGCAACAATGTATGTGAAATATGAGAAAGATAAATAACAGTATTTATGATTTACTGTCAGTACATCCAACTCTTATAAAGTAGAAGCTTCCTAAATGCAATGTAGATGGGTGAAAGCAAAAAGCACTCCCATAATATTTTGCACATATAAGTTACAGGCATATTTATCTTCATTTTCTTAGTTCAAGCTTTTAAAAAATGGGAAGTTTTATTCCTAAGTCCACAAGTAAAGTTAAAAATGTAGGTCCTTTTCCGATCAGGACCTGTGAAAGTTCAAGCAATAATTTCAATTAAAATTAGAAGTATTCCATTACTAATTGAAACATTACAGGAATGATTGAATAGAAATCTACAATTGCAATAATGTGCGCCATTGCAAGTCTCTGAAGGGTCGTAAATACAGGGAGCTTTCTGAAATCGAAGAAATATGAATACTGACACCTAATTTTTATCTATTATTCTACTAAGTTTTTTGGAAAAAGCACAGAATGCTCCTAATGTATTGTTATTCACCGCTTTCATTCGAAGACCTGTGGCATTTTCTACACTTCTTTCATCAGCTCAGGTTTAACAGGATAAGTCCTTTTTCTCTGCTGCCAGCTGGCCATCTGTTAACACCCATAAAAATCTACAGAAATCCAAGACACTCATGATCAGAAGGAAACCTTAGCTTAGCTAACTGCTTGCACCTGAAACAATGCAATTTTTTTTATTGTCATACATGTAAATTGAAAATCTAAAGATAGTGGTTCAAGTTTTAACGAAGGAAACAAGTAATGCCTTCCCTACTGAAATGTCTCCATTTGCAAAATCTCCTCATAGAAGACATCTTTGTCTACTAGAATTAAGTGTTCCATTCAGCTCTAAACTACTTCTCAGACAGGATCCACTCTTTTAAAATATGAAATTCAGGGATTCTATACATTGAACCTGTCTCAGTTACTTCAAGGGTAAGATTCAGCTGTTTTGATTAATGTTTCCAATGCAAACAAATTATAGAGTGTACTGAAGCGGACAAAAACACAAACGACTTTCCTACTTTGGAATGGATTGTTGTGACTTTATGACAAGACAGTTGCTACTCAAATTAATTATAAGAATTATAAGAAAAAGAGAAAGGTAAAATTGGAAATAAAACTGTATCTTAAATAAATTAAGAAGTATTAAAAATCTCAATCATATACATTACCAGAAAATACTCTCAGCCTCTAATTTTACTATTTAAAAAGAATTTTCCTTGTACTTCAAAAGTATTTGTATGGTCTACATGTCCAAAAGTGAATGTTAGCAAAAGGTTAAGAAAAAGAAATTACAATTAAGTGCTGAACATGGTACGACTAAGATAATTGTACATCCTGCAATGGCGACTTCACAATTCAATTCTGAATTCACAGGATTTATTCGCAACACTGCTTATGCTTGTCAGGCAACACATACTTACTAATGCACAGAAATAAATCTCGCACACCAACACTTGTATGACAGAACTGGTAGATATTTTTCATTCATCTTTCTCTACACGAGGAAAGTTTTTTTAAAGAGGTGATGAATGTTTGCAAAGCAGTTTCCCAAAGGGGAGTCTGCTTAAATTCAACTGCTAAAATTTGGATGTAATGCAGTAATTTTCAAGTTTTGCCTGCAGGCCACACACATTCTTGCTACAGTCAGTGAGATTTTAATTTTAAAAATTAAAGCTGTTGCAACCTTGAACTTGCTGAGCTTCAGTGAAAAAGAATGAGAAGCACTGCTTTAGTTATCTATGTATCAGAATAAGCAAAAGTAGCAGCGACAGGCATTGCAAATGCACCACTTTCACTGAACTGGAAGCTACACTGCAGGCATTTTATTTATATGTCCCAAATATATTCTCCTTTGCATTGAAGATGTATTATCATCTCCTATCTTACCACAATAGCTTAGATTGCTCCACTTAGAAGACAGAACAGGTATAAGACTTAGCTATTTCATGGTTCTTCTAGTTTCTCTTTATGACAACAACTGTTTGCATTTCTCTCTATGTTGAAGGAAGACAGACTGCCCTCCGGCTCAGAGCTTCTCTCAGCCAGCATACATGCTATAGTCCCCTTTCGTTTTTTTTCCCCCCTCACTTATGCTCCTAGCAGTAGCCTGACTGACTTTTCCTCTTCACGTGCTCTGAAGCGTTTCTCCTTCTTCTTGCCTCGGTCTTCTTATAAAAACTAAATTAAACTCCAAGGAAACATATTTACTCACATAGCTATTTCACTATTTGTTTACAACTAAGTCATAATCACAGATAAAATTAATATTGAAGGTTACTCATGAGTATGAACTATCTTAAATGGATGACAGAAAGACAATTGTCCCTCTTCCTAATCACAATACAGAAATTGCAAAGTTTAAAAAAAAACACAACCCCAAAAAAATCAGCATGTGACTATGTATGTAGTTTCTACAAAAGAACACTCTAATCTTCAAAAAAAAAAAAGTCATAATTGCTAGCCCCTAGACAACTCAGTGGCCATTATTTTAGCACGCTTGATATGTAAAGGACAGTTGCCATTCCAAAGACCTTAGTTTTATTACCTTCTCTTCTTAAATTACAGAGCACTGAAAATTCTGCTGGCTTTGAGTTACAATTTTAGGGTATTCTCAATTACATACTAAAATAATGGTGTTCCCTGAAGGTGTATTTTCAGATAAAACTGAAACAGAGGCATTATCCAATCTATCTGCGTTTTAGAGGTAAAGTAAGAATTCCCACTGAAAGACAGACTGTTGAACTCCCTGAATATTAATTAAAAAAAAAATCCCTGTGTCGTATTCTACATTGCTTAAAGCATTCCCTCGAACCTGTAAAAATGATGTAGAAAGTCACTCAGACCTTTCAGAGCAGGATTGAAGAAATTAAAACAAATATTCAAAAGAGCTACCCAGATAACAGCTTACGGTTAAATAAAATTCACAGTCATTTTAATTTTGTTCTAAAAATACCACTCGTGCAAGGACAGTTGCTAGAAAGATCATGTGTTCTTGAAGTTTTTCAAAAGCTGCAAAATCTTTACAAAGTGAAAAGCCCAAACTAACAAAACTTCCAATAATACACAAAGCCAAAACAAAAGATAAAGAAATATTTTTTGAAAAGCTTATTTCCTCCTGTTTCCCCATCTTAATTATTTTTTTTTAATTTGTGAAATGGTAGTAGTGGTTTTCATTTTGAATTCTATAATCACCTTAATAAGAAAAAAGTAGTATCCTCTTGTGCTGCATAACAGAAAATAAAATGAAAATAAGTTGTAAGTAGGTGATGGCATGAAACCCCAAAACGCAAATGCTTTAGGACAGAAAGGGGAACTCTATTCTTACAGTGCCGACTAATCACACCACAAATGTAAATATACTTACATAATTTGGTGGTAGATTCAAAGTAGGTTACAGAACTCTTAGAGATATGTATTCTCAGTCACATGCACTTTTCTTAACTTTTCATAGAATGAACAGTAAAATGAAGACCTTAACCTGCTGAAGGCTTCACACCACAACTCTGATACAAATTTTTACTAACATTACTACTAAAAATAAGTATTTTATTTTCCACACTTAAATCTGTCTGGAAATATGTATCCAGCAACCACCATCTTGAATATCTTTGCCATTTGTTATCCAAAAAGTTATGCCATTGTGTACTCAAAAATACACAGTATAACAGCTTTAAAACTTCTTCTGTTCCTTCTTAGGACGGATAAATACTAAGTCCTGTATATGGTCTTTGAAATGTTTTAACGATAAAATGATTTTTTACTTCAGTTAGGACTAGAACTGTCTCAACAGCAATCTCAGCCCCAAGGGGGCAAAGTAAATAAACCTTGCCGTACAAAACAGAATTATTTCAAAGGACACAATCTGTGAGTCATAACAGTTATATAAATAAGACACTGTAACAAAGTTTCTTGTTGTAAAAAGACTTCTTTGTACTACAATGCACTAAAGAAACTGGAACTAGTTGACATGCATCCTATATCAGCAGGCACAGATACAATTCAAATACTTAGTTCAATGTAATTTTCACTTTAATTTTGACAGTGTGTTACTGCTTATACATAGCAAAAATACTGTTAGGGTAGACTACTCAACAGGTAATTTTCTTGAGCATCATTAACAATGAAGTAAGACACTCACACTGCTGGTACAACAATAGATGTTTTAGCATTTGTCTCCCAGAACGATTATAGTAGGAATTAAAATTAAAATCTTACCTGACTTCACAGGAATGGATGCTTAATTCTTTGTGTAAGAGACCACTTGTAAGATGAAACACCAGGACAGAGCCATTACTTGTACCTATAAAAAGTGATTTTTAAAAAAAAAAATATATATATATACCCATGTTATTCTTCTCTTCCATACTTCAGTGAAAATGCAGGATTTACAGCTATACATCTTTTTTTTCCTAAATACCTGTTAACTATTATATTTTACAATTTTAGAAAAGGTATTTTGATTTCTAGTGCTTAAATCCCAAATATTAAACCCTCCAAGGTTTTCTGCAGCCAGTGATATCCATTTGGATCACAACATTTTCCTGAAACTATTTATAGAGCCTGTAGAAAATCTGTTCATTCTTGCATTTTCACAACATAGCCAGTTGCAGGAGAAAGGAATGGGGTTTTTTGTTTTGATTACTTGAGATGAGTAAATGCCTCAAGGAAGAGTATTAACTGTATTTCCAATAATCCCAAGGGAGAATGATGGGTAGATTTTACCAAATCGTTAAAGCAATTCTGCTTTATCAACCCTGAAATAATGATCATCTTAAAATTACAAATCAATAACTTAGTAGCTATTAGCTTCAATTAGATTAAAAACCTTCTGAAACAGTGAAAGTTACAATCTTCTATTAGACACTGATTAGACTTAATTGTTCTTCTCTTTTTCTTTACATGCATATCAACTTCATTAAATACAAAAATGGATACCTAAAGAGTCATACTGGTACCTTAGGTCTAGAATGCTACAGACCTTGCTGTAAATGGATTTTATACCTACCTATTAGTTTCTTCATCTTTATATTTCAACTGTTTTAACAGTTACAGCTTACATAAAATCAAAAGTTACATTTTAGTAGCATCACATCATGTAATGATAGCTTGCCTAGATTTCAGAGCACAACTATTGATGGTACTTTTAGCTCAATAACAATAGAAGTATTAACAAGAACAGCACACACACATACATGCATTATTATGGCTTTTTCATTACTGGAGTGATATCCTCTTTGTAAGCTCCTGTATAACATTCATCTTC